TTCCATAGGAATTCAATTATTTACAAAAATAATAAAACTCATCGTAAAAATTCAATTATTTTTGAAAATTTTAGTAAAATCATTCTCAAAAATTTAATTACATTCAAAATCTTTTTAAAATTTTCATCAAAATTTCAATTATCTTTATAAATAATATAATTCTTCTCCGAAATTCAATTATTTTCAAAAAATTTCCTTAATTCAATAATTTAATTCATAAATATTAAAAATTTCATAGGAAGTCAATTATTTAAAATTTTTTTATCAATTTCTTCGCAATAATTCAATTATTTACAAAAATAATAAAACTCGTCGCAAAATTGCAATCATTTTTAACATAATTTTTTTATCGAATTTCTCGAAAAATGTAATTTATTATTCTTAAAAATTTTATTAAAATTCATCGAAAGAATTTAATTATTTAAAAATTTGTTTATAAAATTCTTTATGAAAATCTAGTTTAAAGAAGCATTTAATTATTCAATATTCAATTACTTATTCAATAAAATATTTCATTTTTGTATTTGAATAACATCAGAATTCTCGTAGAATTTTCCAATGAAAATTGAGTCAAAAATGAAAATTTTAATTCCTAAGGAAAAATAATATAACAAATATTTATTGAAAAAAGAAATTATTGATGTTTTCGAATAATTTTAATATTTTACAATTAAAGAAATTCGTAAATAAATTGTAACAGAACATTTTTTTTTTGATTATACCTAAATAATTTTGAAAATAAATCGCAAAATATTTTTTAGTGTCAGGGAAAAAGTCAAAATTTTCTCATGGAAATCAGGGAAAAGTTGGAAAAAAAGAAAATTTAATTTTCGTCGTAACCCTGAACTGTAAAATTTTTGAATTTCATTCAGGACTTAAAGAATCCAAGTATACAGTAGTCAAGAAAAAGAAAAAAGAAAAAAAAAGAAGTCAACTCTACTATAGGAATTTTTTTTCGAGTGCGTAAAAATAATAATGCGTTGGAGAATAAAAAAATATTTTCCTAAATGAAATATTTGTGTTAATATTATTTTTGTTCTTTAATTTAAAATCAAACTCTCGAAGCAATAGGCCTTTGGATTATAACAATGGATTTTGTGCAGCATCGACTTCTTTATGGTAATCTAATCTTTTCTAAATATTTGTTAAATGAAACGACAAGAACGCACCTGAAGGAACATTAAAGTGTAGAAATCGAGATTCCTGATTGTGTTGTTGGGGAGTAGAACACGTGCAAAAGCAGCAATGGAAAAGCTTGAACTCACGTGTTCTCACGAATCAAAGAAAATAGTCGAGTCTTACATGGGCATGTTTCTTTTTCCTAGCCAAAGTAGTTAGGATTATTGAATTTTAAACTAAACTCTTACAAATTCTGCTCCTAGAATAAGTCATTTTTCAATGAAACTCGAGTTCCTTTTTTTATCCCTTTTTTTTATTCATTGATTGATAAATTTATTATTAGCGAAACATTCATTATTGCTCTAGTTTTCTTCTTTGTGAAAATAATCAACAACTTTTTATCTCTCTAAATTAGAATTATTAAAAATGTTTATTAATTTAAATTAATTACTGATTTTCGGCTTTTGAATTAGTAAATTTTACTGAGAAGTCAATGGAAAGCACTATTTGTTAGTCGAAATTTATTAGTAATTAATTATTAATTACATCTATTATAATATTTATTGCTAATTAATTTATTGCTATATTTATTAGTCGAAATTGATTACTAATTAATTATTAATTAAATCCATTATAATATTTATTACTAATTAATTTATTATTATAAATAAACTAGCAAATGATACGCGCGAAACGTGATGTTCAATTTATTATTGTTATGCAAATCAGCAAATTATAAAATTTTTTATTTTCAAATATAAATTTTAATATAATTATTTTGATGAATAGTACAATTTTTTTTTGCAAAAATTCAATTATTTTTAATAAAATTGCACGAAAGAATTAAATTATTTTCTAAAATTTTAATAAATCCTTCTTAACAATTCAATTATTTTTTAAATAGTAAATTCTTTGCAGGAATTAAATTATTTTTAATCTAATTTAAATAAAATTACACGAAAGAATTTTATTATTTTAAAAAATTTCCATAAAATTCAATTTCAACAAGAATTTAAAATAAGCTCTAAAAAGATAATTCAATTACTCTCAAAATATTTTTAAAAAAATTCTATATGAAAATTAAATTACTTTCAATGCAATTTTTAAATGTATTCGTCGAAAAAATTGAAATTGAATTATTTTCAAGAAATAATAAAATTCTTCTAATGAATACAATTATTTTGAATATATGCTTAATTTTAATTAAAATTCTTTACAGAAAATTCAATTATTTTCGAAACAAACTTTAATTGAATTTTTCGTAAGAATTTAATTATTTTCAAATATTTCCTATAAAATTCTTCAAAGCAATTCAATTTTTTCCTAAAATTTTAATAAATTCTTTGATCATTTCAATTATTTTTAAAAAATTAATTCAAATCAATTATTTGATTTGAATTCATTTCCTTTAATTATTTTCCATACAATTTTAATAAAATTCTTCTTCATAAAATTCAATTATTGCTTTCAAAGTTTTCAATTAAAATTATTATAGAAACTCCATTATTAAAAAAAAATAAAATAAAATCTATAAAAGAAGTTAATTAGGATTAAAAAAATATTTTAACAAAATTCTTGGCGGGAATTTAATCTTTATAAATAAAAAAATTTTTGATACGATTCTTTGCAAGAATTCAATATTTTAAAATTGAAAATATTTAGAAAGAAAATTTTTTTTAAAAATTAGGAAACAAAAAAACAATCAACAACTAACTTCAAACTGTTCAAAGCGAACAGATTATTGGAATACGACGATTATTATTAATATAGATTAGTAGAAATTACTATTTATTAGTCGAAATTTATAACTAATTATATATAATTATTAATTACATCCAATATAATATTTGTTACTAATAAATTAGTAGAAATTACTATTTATTAGTAAAATTTATTAATTCACAAGCAAACAGTAAGAAGTCACTAATTTAAATTAGTGAGCTCTAAATATTATGTATTAGTAGGTATAGTTATTAATTTTTGTTGCACACATTTTGAGGAAAGAACAAAAAAGATGTTTTTTTAAAACAACTTTCGAGATGAATAAAGCACTAAGTGAACTAAAGAAATATTTCAAAACATTTTATGCACAATTCTTGGAAAAATTCTCTTTTAATGACACATTGAATTAAAATTCAAGGATTCTTCAGAAGTATAAAAATTCCGTTTGATTAAATAATTTTGCCAATGAACATTTTATCTTTTAGTTTGCGAATTTTTATTTACTTTCTCTTTATACTTTTAAATAGTTTAATTTTACCATAAGATTATAAATATTAATTTTAAACATACTCTCCAAATTTTAATTAGTAAAAAATAAAAATGTTTACTAAATTTTAATTAGTGACTGACTTTTGGATTTTAAATTAGTAAACTTTACTTATTAATTAGTAGAAATTACTACTTATTAGTTAAATTTACTAACAGTAAATTATTATTATTTAAATTATTTATTTAAATCTCTTCTTATTTTTTAATAATTATTATTTTTTTTATTAGTAAAATTTACTAATAGTAAATTATTAATTACTAAATTATTATTATTTAAATTATTTATTTAAATCCCTTATTACTTTTTTAATTATTATTATTTATTAGTAACATTTTCTAATAGTAAATTATTTTTACTATACTTATAGTAATTTCACGTAATTTATCAGTAAAATTTACTAATTCAAAAGCAAAAAGTTAATCACTAATTCAAATTAGTAAGCATTTTTACTTATTCATATTTAAGAATTAAATTAAGAGTAAGTATAAAATAAATATTTATAATCTTATAGTAAAATTAGACTATATTGATTAATAGTGAAGTGAAAGGAAATAAAAATTCAAAAACTAAAAAAAATATACTGTCCATTAGTAAAATTAGTATCTAGAAATTACTATTAGTATAGTAATTAGTAAATATTACTCAATAAATTAGTAGAAATTACTATTAGTATAGTAATAATCATTTACTATTAGTAAATTTTACTAATAATGACTAATAAATAATAATTTGTACCTACTAATTAATAAATTAGTAGAAATTACTTTTAGTGTGGTAATAATCATTTACAATTAGTAAATTTTACTAATAATTAGTAATTTGTACCTACTAATTAATAAACTAGTAGAAATTACTATTAGTATAGTAATAATCATTTACTATTAGTAAATTTTACTAATAATTACTAATAAATAATAATTTGTACCTACTAATTAATAAATTAGTAGAAATTACTATTAGTATAGTAACAATCATTTACTATTATAGTAAATTTTACTAATAATGACTAATAAATAATAATTTGTACCTATTAATTAATAAATTAGTAGAAATTACAATTAGTATAGTAATAATCATTTACTATTATAGTAAATTTTACTAATAAATAATAATTTTCAGTAATTTATAGTAATTTTTACTAATTAATAAATTAGTAGAAATTACTATTAGTATAGTAAGAATCAGTTGCTATTATAGTAAATTTTACTAATAAATAGTAATTTTTACTAATTAATAGTAATTGTTACTAATTAATAGTAATTGTTACTAATTAATAAATTAGTAGAAATTACTACTAGTATAGTAATAATCATTTACTATTAATAAATGTTACTAATAAATAGTAATTTTTACTAATTTAATAGTAAAATTTACGAATTCAAAAGCAAAATGTCGCAATCACTAATATTCAATTTATTAAAAACACTTTTAAAATTTTAAATTTAGTGCGTAAATAGTAAAGATAAAAAAAATAATACTATGATATAATAATCAAATAGATGAATAGAAGAAAAAAATATTCCCCCCAAGCGAGATCTTCCAAATTGGGAGGGAAAATTTTTGTCAATATATTATAGAAAAACATGTGCTCTCAGCATTGGTCGTTTACCGAAATTTCTTTTTGAAAATCCGTTCTCCTCTTTGTGGGGGATGATGCTTTCTTCGATCCTATGTATCAATTTCAGGACCACATGGTGCGTGAGTACGTTAATTATTTTATTTCCCTCTTAAATTTTGATTATTTTCCTCAAGTTAATTATTCTCTTCACACACTCGTTTTCTCACAAGTATCGCTTCACAGAATTTTAAACTGGACATGACACATTCTGATTATAATCCTTTCCTCTTGGCGATCCGATCCGGAAGATATTGACTCACCACTAATAATTGAAACGAAACCTGTCTTTATAAACACTCATCGGAATAACTTCACTTTTTAACAAAAGTTAACTTACAAATGTTAACCAAAATGTTTTATTCTCGAATTTTCTCTTTTTCTTCAAAAACACATTTTTTAATGGGCAAAAAATAATCAACGTTTGAAATTAAATTTTTATTTACAAAAAATAAAAAATACAGCAGCTCCGCATTTATTAACTTTTTTATTATTCCTTTCTTATTTTAATTTACTATAAAAGTGTAAAATTAAAAATTATTCTTTCTAACACTTTTTTAGAAATATTTCTTCAAATAAAAATATTTTGTTTCAAGTAAAAAAAAAGTTGTTTAAAAAAGATTTAACTTTAGATAAAAGTTTATGTTTTAAATTAACAAGAAAATTTGTTTTAAAAATTTTCAAATTGACACTATTTTTACTTTGGGGAAAATTGAATGTTTTCGTGGCAAGTGACACCATGAGACTGCTTAGCAAACAGAACTGTCAAATCGCTCTCGGTTGAGAGTGTATTATAATGTTACAGATGGTGGGGAGATGAATTTACACATAATACACGTTTGTGTGCCAAGAGCATTATTGTGGGTGCACTCAGGTGTATTCTCTCATGGAGATTTATCATCATTTTTACTATATATGTGTATATATGAGCAATTACAATTATTTATATAGTCACAAATCCTCAATTTGCCTTATTTTTAAATTTACAGTTGCAAAATTCTTTAATTCCACTAAAAAAAAATTTTTTAATTATAAAAAATTACAATTTGCTATTTTAGAGTGGAAAAAAAATTTTCTTTGATTCAAATAAACAAATAATTGACTTGAATGAAAATTATTTGATACGAATAAATATTTATTTGTATCAAATAATTTTAAATTATGTATTATTTTTTTTTTAATTATTTGAATGCAAATAAATATTTATTTGTATCAAGTAAAATTTGTATTCAAGTCAATTGTTTACTTCATTGTTTCTTTATATGAATCAAATAAAATTTATTTTGAGTCAAAAATAACGAGTGTAATTTTTCATAATTAACAATTTATTAGTGAAATTAAAGAATTTTGCAACTGTAAATTTATAAATAGTCATATTATCAAATTATTTTTTTATTATCAATTAATTTTTAATAAGTTAATTGTTATAATAAGTTAATTTAATAAGTTAATTAATTTTAAGTTAATTGTTTCCTTTAAATACTGGAATTATTGGTTCAAATACAATTTAATTAAAATTTACTATCAAATTTATTAGTAAAAATTTTTCTAATTTCAATTAGTGATAAACTTTTTGCTATTGAATTAGTAAATTTTACTAAAAAAAAATTATTAGTAGAAATTACTATTTATTAGTCAAATTAATTGAATTTACTAATTCAAATAAAAAAGTCAGTCACTAATTTAAATTAATAAACATTTCTTCTAATTCAAATTTAGAGATTTGATAAAAATTATTTTATTTAGATAAATATTTAATAGATAATAAACAGGTAATTTTTTATTTTAATCAAATAATTTCTATCAACTTTCTAAATTTGAATGAATAAAAATATTTACTAATTTGAATTAATAACTGATTTTTTGTTTCTGAATTAATAAATTTTTCTAATAAATTAGTGGAAATTATTATTTATTAGTAAAATTTACGGATTCAAAAGAAAAAAGTTGTGCTTAAATAAATTTTAATTCCAAAGTTTTTTTTTAATTAAAATTTATTTAAAACACAACTTTTTACTAAAAAATTTTAAAAGTAAAAATTACTAATTCAAAAGCAAAAGCTACTAATAAATATATTAGTCTAATTTTTTTTAAATTTAATTTATATATTGAATCGAAAAGCAAAAAGTCGGTTATTAATTCAAATTAGTAAAAATTTTTACTAATTCAAATTTAGTGGTAGTTTGCTTTTGAATTAGTAAATTTTACTAATAAATAGTTATTTTTACCAAAAATATTTAATTTTTTTTCTAATTTATTAGTAAAGTGAAGTAAATTTGAATTAGCAAAAATGCTTACTAATTTTAATTAGTGACTGTTTCTTTTGCTTTTGAATTAGTAAATTTTACTAAAAAAAAATTATTAGTAGAAATTACTATTTATTAGTCAAATTAATTGAATTTACTAATTCAAATAAAAAAGTCAGTCACTAATTTAAATTAATAAACATTTCTTCTAATTCAAATTTAGAGATTTGATAAAAATTATTTTATTTAGATAAATATTTAATAGATAATAAACAGGTAATTTTTTATTTTAATCAAATAATTTCTATCAACTTTCTAAATTTGAATGAATAAAAATATTTACTAATTTGAATTAATAACTGATTTTTTGTTTCTGAATTAATAAATTTTTCTAATAAATTAGTGGAAATTATTATTTATTAGTAAAATTTACGGATTCAAAAGAAAAAAGTTGTGCTTAAATAAATTTTAATTCCAAAGTTTTTTTTTAATTAAAATTTATTTAAAACACAACTTTTTACTAAAAAATTTTAAAAGTAAAAATTACTAATTCAAAAGCAAAAGCTACTAATAAATATATTAGTCTAATTTTTTTTAAATTTAATTTATATATTGAATCGAAAAGCAAAAAGTCGGTTATTAATTCAAATTAGTAAAAATTTTTACTAATTCAAATTTAGTGGTAGTTTGCTTTTGAATTAGTAAATTTTACTAATAAATAGTTATTTTTACCAAAAATATTTAATTTTTTTTCTAATTTATTAGTAAAGTGAAGTAAATTTGAATTAGCAAAAATGCTTACTAATTTTAATTAGTGACTGTTTCTTTTGCTTTTGAATTAGTAAATTTTACTAAAAAAAAATTATTAGTAGAAATTACTATTTATTAGTCAAATTAATTGAATTTACTAATTCAAATAAAAAAGTCAGTCACTAATTTAAATTAATAAACATTTCTTCTAATTCAAATTTAGAGATTTGATAAAAATTATTTTATTTAGATAAATATTTAATAGATAATAAACAGGTAATTTTTTATTTTAATCAAATAATTTCTATCAACTTTCTAAATTTGAATGAATAAAAATATTTACTAATTTGAATTAATAACTGATTTTTTGTTTCTGAATTAATAAATTTTTCTAATAAATTAGTGGAAATTATTATTTATTAGTAAAATTTACGGATTCAAAAGAAAAAAGTTGTGCTTAAATAAATTTTAATTCCAAAGTTTTTTTTTAATTAAAATTTATTTAAAACACAACTTTTTACTAAAAAATTTTAAAAGTAAAAATTACTAATTCAAAAGCAAAAGCTACTAATAAATATATTAGTCTAATTTTTTTTAAATTTAATTTATATATTGAATCGAAAAGCAAAAAGTCGGTTATTAATTCAAATTAGTAAAAATTTTTACTAATTCAAATTTAGTGGTAGTTTGCTTTTGAATTAGTAAATTTTACTAATAAATAGTTATTTTTACCAAAAATATTTAATTTTTTTTCTAATTTATTAGTAAAGTGAAGTAAATTTGAATTAGTAAAAATGCTTACTAATTTGAATTAGTGACCGCTGTTTCTTTTGCTTTTGAATTAGTAAATTTTACTAAAAAAATTATTAGTAGAAATTACTGTATATTAGTCAAATTAATTGAATTTACTATAATTCAAATCAAAAAGTCAGTCACTAATTCAAATTAATAAACATTTTTTTACTAATTCAAATTTATAGCACAACTTTTTACTAAAAAATTTTTTAAAAAATTAAAAAAGTAAAAATTACTAATTCAAAAGCAAAAGCTATTAAAAACAGTCTAATTTATTAACTAATTAACATTTTTAATTTTTTTTAAGATTTCTTAGTAACAAGTTTTACTTTAAATAAATTTTAATTCAAAAGTTTTTGGTTTTGAATTAAAATTTATTTAAAGCACAACTTTTTATTAAAAAATAAAAAAAAGTAAAAATTACTAATTCAAAAGCAAAATCTACTAATAAATAGTCTAATTTATTAACAAATTAACTTTTTTATTTATTTTTTTATTTTTTTGTAAGAAGTTTTGCTTTAAATAAATTTTAATTCAAAAGTTTTTGTTTTTGAATTAAAATTTATTTAAAGCACAATTTTTTACTAAAAAATAAAAAAAAATAAAAAAAAGTAAAAATTACTAATTCAAACGCAAAAGCTGCTAATAAATAGTCTAATTTATTTTTTAATTTAATTTATTTTTAATTGAAAAGGAAGAAGTTAGTTACTAATTCGAATTAGTAAAAATTTTTACTAATTAAAATTTAGTGGCTGTTTACTTTTGAATTAGTAAATTTTACTAATAAATGAGTAGAAATTATTATTTATTAGTAAAATTTAGTTAAAGTAAAACTTTTTGATAAAAAATTTTAAAAAAATTGGGTCAGAATTTCTCAAACGGATCAACTAAAAAATTTTCTTTTTGAACCAAAATAGTTTTTTTTTACTCTTAATATGGGTAAGAAGAATCCCTGAAAATATTAAGCCAAAAAAAATGTTTGTAAAAGTTATTAACAATTGAATTTTTTATAATTGCTAAATTAAAAATTTTTTTTCTTGAGTTCCAGTTGACGGATTTAAAAATTAAAATATGGAATTTTTTCGTCTTGAATTGCACTATTTGAATATATTTTTTGTTTTTAAATTTTTTTATTTTTTATAATAAAAAAAAAAAATTAATTTTAATTTTTTTTAATTTTTTTAAATTTTTTTATAAAAAATTTTTTATATTATTTGTTTATAAAATGTTAATAAACAAATATGTTCTTCACGTCGTAACAAAAAAATTTAAATTGTATTATATTCCTTAAACGTCTCCGAGTGTTAAACCGTTTTGAAAACGAAAAAATTACCAATAATTAAAAAGCAAAAGGTATTAATAATAAATAGTCTAAATTATTTTTTAATTTAATTTATTTAATTTATTTTGAATTGAAAAGCAAGAAGTCAGTCACTAATTCAAATTTAGTAAACAACAGTAAATTCTAATTTAAATTCAGAGTATAAATAAAATAAAAAATTATTCGATTCAGAAAAATATTTGCTAGATAATAGACAGATAATTATTTATTTGAACCAAATACATTTTTCTTTCAGTACATTGATAAACTTAACTAATTAGCTTTCAAATTATATTCTATAGAAATACACAAATATTTTTATGTAATACGTGTCGTTTTTTAAAATACGTGCCTAAAGTTGAATCAGTGGCATATATC